GCCCTGGTCTCCCGTCGGCGGTCCCCTCCCTGACCCCGGCTCAGCGCTGCGGCCCCAAACCCTCAGCGGCCGCCCGCAGCCTGAGCCTGTCTCCCAGGCTGGCAGCCCCGGGATCGGCCAGGCCCGTGCAGGCCCCCACCCCTGGAGCACCATGTTTCCCCGCCCGCTGACCCCGCTGGCGGCCCCAAATGACGCCGAGCCCCTGGGCCGGGCGCTGAGGCGGGCCCCACTGGGCAGGGCCCGGGCCGGGTTGGGGGGGCCGCCCCTGCTGCTGCCGTCCATGCTGATGTTCGCGGTGATCGTGGCCTCCAGCGGGCTGCTGCTCATGATCGAGCGGGGCATTCTGGCCGAGATGAAGCCCCTTCCCCTGCACCCTCCCAACCGCGAGGGCGCCGCCTGGCGCGGGACAGTTTCCCGGCCTGGGGGGCTGCCCCTGGATGCCGAGGATTCGGACTTGCAGGTGAGGCAGGACATCCGAAACCGGACCTTGCAGGCAGTGTGCGGGCAACCGGGCATGCCCCGGGACCCCTGGGACTTGCCGGTGGGACAGCGGCGCACCCTGCTGCGCCACATCCTTGTGAGTGACCGCTACCGCTTCCTCTATTGCTACGTCCCCAAGGTGGCCTGCTCTAACTGGAAGCGGGTGCTGAAGGTGCTGGCGGGCGTCCTGGACAGCGTGGACGTCCGCCTCAAGATGGACCACCGCAATGACCTGGTGTTCCTGGCAGACCTGCGGCCTGAGGAGATTCGCTACCGCCTGCAGCACTACTTCAAGTTCCTGTTTGTGCGGGACCCCTTGGAACGCCTTCTCTCTGCTTACCGCAATAAGTTTGGCGAGATCCGAGAGTACCAGCAGCGTTATGGGGCTGAGATAGTGAAGCGGTACCGGGCAGGAGCGGGGCCCAGCCCTGCAGGGGACGATGTCACCTTCCCCGAGTTCCTGAGGTACCTAGTGGACGAGGACCCTGAGCGCATGAATGAGCATTGGATGCCCGTGTACCACCTGTGCCAGCCTTGTGCTGTGCGCTATGACTTTGTAGGCTCCTATGAGAGACTGGAGGCTGATGCCAACCAGGTGCTGGAGTGGGTGCGGGCACCACCCCATGTCCGATTCCCAGCTCGCCAGGCCTGGTACCGGCCTGCCAGCCATGAAAGCCTGCACTACCACCTGTGCAGTGCCCCATGGTCCCTGCTGCAGGATTTGCTGCCTAAGTATATCCTGGACTTCTCCCTCTTTGCCTACCCACTGCCCAATGTCACCAGGGAGGCCTGTCACCAGTGACCATGCGTATGGGCCAACAGCTGTTGTGGACCGGTTTTGACAATGCCAGCTTCTTTTGCCTGCCATTCAGAGAAGCCCTGGCTCTTAGGCATGGAGCTTCTCCAGGTATCTGGATGGCAGGGACTGCCCTTGGACGTGTTTGTCCAGGGTGGGTGTCCACCATGGCTCAGAGGACAGGGTTGGACAGGCCTGGTGTTCTCTCATTGGGGGCATTTCTTGGCCAATGTGATCTTTCTTGTCCTGGCAGAGCCAGATACCAGTTTGCCAGTGAAGCAACACATCTGTTCTACAGACTGACTGCAGGGATTGTGCAGTCTGCTTGGTTCACCTTAACCTGTGGCCAAACCCAGAGATGGCACCCATCAGTAACACAACCAGAGCCAGGGCCCTGTGGCTCTGATCACCCATTCATCCATGAGTTAGCACTCATGCCTTATAAATAACTTTTGTGCCTTTCTGCATCAGACTCAGAGTTTCCTACACTTTCAATGTTCTTTCTATTTTTCCAAGGAAAGGAAAACTGAGTTAAGGGCTCTTGCCTGATAGCTCCAGGACCCTACTCTGCAGGCATCCAAAGACCCCTGTTCCCAGCCTCTTCTTGGGGTTCTGGGCACCTCTTCCCTTCCCCCAAGGTTGTGACTGTGGCTGGTGTGTCTGGCTGCAACTTTTCTGACACATTTATTTAAAATTTGTACTTTTTGATAGAACCCTTGTGAAGGCTTTGTTTTCCTAATAGCTGAATTTTTAATAAAGCTGTTTTGTATACAAAGTCAGCATCTCTGATTCTCCCTCTGAGCTCCTGTGCATCAAGCAAGTCTCCCAGATGTCTGTCTCCCCAGGTCAGGAGAGGGAGCTTGTAGGTAGAGAAAGGAAGACAAAATGTAACTTGTTTGGGCCAGTCTAGTGGGCCACTGCCATACCATGGAGAATTGAGGGGCTCCCCATAGGCCATACCTGAGCACAGACTGAGCTCCTGGGATGCCACCGAAGGGCAAACCCCATTAGGAATGGCACACCCCCAGGGCTTATTTAACCCTGAAGAGGGAGGAGGGTATGAGACACTGGCTTCTCTGCCTCTTAAGCAGGAGTAGTTGGTGACTAAGGAGGCCCCCAGATGAAAAAAGGGATCGTTGTGTGAACAAGGAGAGGTTTTTCCCGGTCTTGAGAATTACAATGAAGGCAAGGAGTTTGAGCGAGGGCCAGGCTGTTGCTGACTTAGGTCCAGAGGAAGTTGTGGGCGATGTGAGAGGGTATAAACCTAGCCTTGCTGTTGGACTAACTTTGGAGGAGAAATTGGGGAAGGGGGCTTCTGTGGGCACTCATGGTTCTCTGCCATGACTCACCAGGAGACCTGTCTGATCTCTTGTCTGGGTCAGGTGCCGCTCTTCAGGGTCCCCTTGGCTCTGGGGACTTCACCTCAGATAGCACTTACCATGCTCTGTTGTAATGACCCAGTTACTGGTCAGTCTCCCCACTGAGACTGAATTGTGTGAAGCTGACACCATGTCTGCCTTGTTCCCAGAACCTAGCCAAGGGGCTGGCATACAATAGGCATGTATATAGCTCAGCAGAACCAAGGTGTACATCTTGCTTCAGGACAGAGCACTTCCTCTGCCAACCAGTCAGTCCTTCTCTGAGCTTCCAGCCCCTCAGGGCCCTACCTTGCCCCAGCTTCTTCCTCCTTGGCTGGGAACTGCCGCTTCAGACCTGTATCAGCCACTCAGTCTCCCTTATAAGACCTGCAGCCTGGAACCCAGAGAACCCAGAGTGTGCTGGGCCCAGCTGCTGTGTTACCTCGTCTCAATCTTCACAACAGCCCAATGCCACAGGTGTTATCCTGCTTTAGAGGCATGGAAACTGGCACAGAGAGGTAAGTACCCTGCCCAAAGTCCAAACCAGGTCTGTGTGCTCCCAGATTGGGAGCCAGGAGAGAGAGATGGAGATTGTGGAAGGTGGGGGTTGAGAGAAGAGGGAATGAACACAGAGATTAAGAAGATGAAGGGCAGGTGGGGGTCATATTTAGGAGCATTTACACACTTTCCCCCTTCTTAGTTCTTTCATTCCCTCATTTGCAAAGAATTCAATTTAGCCCAGCTGACATTTACCAATCCCCACCCTGAAGAAGTGGGAGACAAATGAAACCCTTGATGTTAGCTTATTGACTACTGTCCTCTCAGGCATTAAAGGGTGGCAGGCCAGAGAGCATCCTGACAGCCTGTATTGGACACCTGTGGTGTGGGGAAGAGGGTTTGAGGTAAGAAGATGAGGGGGACTGCTGAGGCAAACTGCCACCTACTGTCATTTTTTCCTAGAGTCAGCCCCTGAGGAAATGAATTTGTCATCTACCCTTCCTTTCAGGAAAATAGACTTTTTAAAAGAAGCTGCCAAGGAGGTGGCAGAGTTGTGGGGATCCAGCTGGCCCTAGCGTGGCCTGCTTTATATTGGGCACGTAAGCCAGAACTGGGGGGGTGAGGGTGGCAAGCTCTAGGTTGCCAAGGGTGGGGCAGGGGCATTCTCAGGACTGGACACCTGGACTGTGTCTTCCTGGATTCTCCCTTTGCACTGAGTCAGCTCTCATCGCCACAAGGAGCCAAGCCCTACACCACTGACTATGAAGACAAGGGTCCCCTTCAGAACTCACTCCATCCCAACAACCCGATTCTCCTGGACACAGGGGGACGGGGCTGGCAATGGTTTAACTTCTCTCAAGAACAAAGGAAAGGGGAGGAGCCCGAAGGGACCTGGCCCTCCAGGTCTTCCTCCTGACTCCACTTCCAGGCTCCAATTCTGGTTCATTTTTCATCCTGTCTGATGATACTGCCCAGAAACCATTTCACCTTAAGTTCTGAGGTTGTTTCCTCTCCCTTTTCTTCTCACACCTCTGTCCCCTCCCTTCAGGAGGGTCCCACCACATAGACCCTCTACAGGAAGCAAGTTCTGAGTGGAGCAGTTGACCCTCCCCATGGGTGAACACAGAACCCTCACCTTTCCTGGGGGATCATCACCAGAGGGGGTCAAGCCCCCTGGCCCTCTCCCAGGGTGGGTCCAGTGCTTTTTATATTGAACCAGTCCGTGCCTGGCTTCAATCAAGAGGAAAGACATTCTTTCTCTTCCTAAAGGAAAAAAAAAAATTATTATTATAATTATTATAATTATTTTAATCCTCACCCAAAGAGTGAGGATATTTTTTTCCATTGATATTCAGAGAGAGAGTGGAAGGGAAGGGGAAGGTGGAGAGAAAGGAGAGAAACATTGATGAGAGAGACACATAGATTGGTTGCCTTCCTTTCAAACCTGCAACGCAGGCACCTGCCCTTGATCAGGAATTGAACCTGCAACCCTTGGGTGCTCAGGCTGACATTCTAACCACTGAGCCACACCAGCCAGGGCAGGAAAATATTAATATTTAACAGTAGCTACTCTGAAATTAGTAATGTTGGTAAGTACTTTACATGCATCCTCTCCATTCTAACTACAACCCAGCAAGGTAAGCAAAATTATTTCCATTTTATAGATGAGGAAATTAAGGCTAAGTGACTTGTCCAAAGAGATGGAGGGGTTAGGATTAAAACCCAGCTCCATCTAATGTTCACTCCTTTATAAGTGAACATGCATCATAAATTATCCAGCTCATTGCATTTGCTGACAAGCATTGTGTTCATTTTCTCTGATTTCTGCACCCATCTCCAGCCCTCCTTTCTAACACTCCACGAGTGATTCTGTCCATAGACCTCTCCAGCTATTATAAAATTCCTCAGATTTGCCCACCCTGAGAATCAACTTTCCAGTAGTTCTGAGCCCAGACCATGAATATACTAGACTTTCAGTTCAGGTCCTCCGAGAAGCAGATGCCAAGGCAGAATTAGACGTGCAAGAGATTTATAGAAGAAACAGCTGTGAGGGACAAAGGACAAGGGAGCAGTAGGCTGGAAGAGCCCGACACCTGTGAAAGGAGAGAGGAAAGGAAGAATTGTATGGGAAGAGTCTCCCATTACAGTGTAGCTCTAAGAACGTCTCCTCAAGACTCATGGGGCATCCCAGGCAAAGGTTACCTTTTGGAGGAATCGTCCCTCGGGCAGAAATGGGGGTGGACACAAACACTGAGGGAGATCAAAATGAGAGAGAAAGCTGTAGCAGCGGCTGGAGGCTGTCAGCCGATCACACGTCTCACAGCAGGAAGACGTGAACATAGCACCTGCTGCACAGGCTCAACTTGGCTACTCTGACTTATGGGCCTTTGTCCCCAAAAGTTCTGTTGACATATGACCTTTTCAACAACCAGAAAACAGCTGTTGGCCTATCAAGAGCCTCTAAGATGCCTGGGGGGTCCTGAACTTAACTCTTCCCCATGGCCATTCCTTGGCTTTATAGCAGGACTACTGCCCTGCCTTCATTTGGGCATCAGAAGATGTGTGCCATTGCCATGCCCAAATGCCCATACTGTAGTTTTCAGGATATTTCCCCTGCAGTTTGCCCAGCTAGTTGCAGGTTTTGGTTATCCTTGGTTTGTGCCTGTCATTAACTGGGTGGATTTTGATGATCACCTTTGCCTGGGGGGCACTCAGAGCAATATACAGATCTTGTAACAGAAACCCACACCTGAAACCTGTATGTTCATATTAACAATTGTCACCCTAATAAATTTAATGAAGTGTTTTAAAAAAATAAAAAACCCTAATGATCACCTTTGCCTAGCTTCAGTCTTTCATAAGCTCAAGTACTTTCAGGGGAGAGCAGATTCACCCAGAGGTTGAGTCTGGGTGCTGGAATCCCAGACCTCTCAAGGGATATAGTTTAGGCTTCCTCCCAATCTGATCATTCACATAAACTCCAGGGCAGCCTGAGAAAGAAGCAAAATCTCCCTAAACGGAGTTCCCAGGGACCTGCATGCTGGCAAATACCAGGTCTTCTGTAGCATCCCCCAACTGAGCTTTTGAGCTTGTCATATCCATGTCCTGGACCAGTCTGGAGAAAAGTCCCAATGAAACTAAGAGAATCACAACATTAGTCCTGATTGTGCCACTGTGAGGGGACAAAGAGATCAGGGCAGACCAGGTCACCTCCTGCCCTTTAACCCTCCAGTAGGAAAGCTGTGCCAGCCTTAGCCTTGGGGTAGGGCCTTGGGGGACAGAAAGACATGAGGGCCTTCAAAAGCTTGGGAAGGAGAAGCCTGTCGTGTCACTCCTGCCACTGGCTCAACAGCTTCCCCAGACCTGCTGGGCGACCACCTCACTGTTTGCAGGTGGAGGGAACCAAACATTCTACCTCACAGGGGGCATCTACTGGATCATTTCTCTGTTCTCTGCCCTGGAGAGATTGAACGGCCCCCTGGGACCTTTGCCAGAGCAAGTCCCAAGAGTCCAAGCACTGTGTGCAGAGAGGCCATCAAAACAGAGGAATTCATGGCAACTGGACATCAGGCTGGCCCCTGAGTGAGGGGTCACAGGCTGTCTGGAGGCAGGCCCAAGAACAGTGGAATTGGCTGGGCAGGGGTAGGGGAAATGGGACAACACTTTCTGGTTGAGGAACTAAACCAAATTGGGGGTTAACTAAATCAAATTGGGGGCAACCCAGGCATGCCTCCACTACCCACCAATGAGAAGCTGTAGTGAGCCGTTTCCACAGAAGCTACTGGACACAGTGGCAGGCCAGTCCCCTGGTAGGGGGGTCTCCTGTTGTCTGGGAGCAAGTCTCTAGTAATAAAAAGAGAACTGTCCTGATAGATGAGAGAGCTGGCCCAACTAAAGCAGGAAACCCAGGAGGAAAAAG